AACGGACTACTTTTTTTTAAAGTAACTAGTAAATTAATGCATTACTTTTAAATGTACGACAAAATATCTGAGTTACTTTTAGTTTTTAAGTCATGCAGGTAATTTTGTTTTCCCGTTTACTGACTGTCACGTCTCCTGTCGCCATGCTGAGAGAAATCTGGAGGGAGGTGTAAAAGCATTGTGTGCGCTGATGATTGTGTTTACATGGTTATTTTAGTTCTAGACTATGTGAACATGTATTTATTAATCTCACAGAAACAGATTAAGTATTTCTCAAAATTATTAAAAGCAATGAGATGATTAAAAGCACAGTGAGATGCAAACTAATCACATGCTATAAGACATAGGCCTACTTCATGCATTTAACCTCACTTTATTAACCAATGACTTTGTTGCTGACATTCGATAATCCAGTTCAACCATACTAAGCAAAAATGACTTTAGCTTGTAACAGTGTTTCATTTTTTTATTGCTGAAGTAAAAGCATGAGTAAAAGTGGTGAATTTTCTTCCTCTGCAATCCAGAATGGCAGCACAACTGGAAAGTTTGAGCTGCGCCCTCTACTGGACAGGCGTGAATTTGCATTTTCTTCAGCCTGGGGTTTATTCATTTAATTTTTGGGGGGTGAAAGGGCCTTTACATTTGCCAAAAATATAACTGTTTTATTAAAAATCAAACAAGTTAGCCCAGCCCAATTGAGAAAAAGTAACGCAAACGTAACGTACCGCATTACTTTCCATAAAAAGTAACCAAGTACTGCAATTAGTTACTTTTTTACGCATTACTTTTAAAAGTAACTTTCCCCAACACTGACATCAACAGCACCTTATGGAACTGTCCATCTAAATCACTAAATAAAACTCTCTTGCGTCTGCACACAAATATGTCAGTTTTATTTGTTCATTTTATTTTATTTTTACAGTTTTTCTTTTTTTATGATTGTATATTATAAGTTAGAATCCTGGGCAATTGCACTTAAATTGTCAACAACAACAAAAAACCTCAGAAGAAGGACACATTTCTTTCATTTTTTCCATGTTATAGTTTTGACAGGTGGCATAAGTTCACCACCCAGTGTAAAAAGCCCAATGACAAGTCCAATCCTCGGATGCACTACCTCTATGGAAAGTAGAACCTGTTTCAGATTGGGCCTAAATTGAATCAGCAAAATAAAGAGCCATCAATGGAATGGAAGAATAATCAAGATATTTCAGGAGATGTGATTAGAATGGATTGTGCAATTCTTAGAAACTCCTACCTGACAAAGACAAAATGTATTAGATTATAGAAGGTTTCTCTGGAAATATATTTAGGCACAGGAGCATGCAAGAAAAATGCTTGGGCAATAAGAACAAGGTGCAATGAGGATATGAGCAAGCAGAAAGTAATGCAACGTCACCATCATTCAGATGTCCAATATATAGTGAAATACTATAGAGAAAAATAAGATATTTTATGAGCTCAGCATATGAAAGGCTTAATAACAGGGCAGGTTTAATGGATCAATATATTGTTGTCGCACTGAACAAGACTGTGCAAGGCTAACAAATCTGCTGTAATGTAATGCTGGGTACAAGTTGACCAGTCGCAGCATTAACATCATCCTGAAGTGCTCTGGAGTTGTTCTCAAGGGGCGTCGTAATTTAACCTGCATGTGAGCTTCAGCAGATTTCCGAGCATGGATACAAGAGAATCGGTTCGATACTGCGGAGTGAGAGGCTGGGTATAGGCCTATGCGAGCGTTACCTCCGTGCCGGTGAGGGTCAGCAAAAACATAAGCATCTTAATGGGAACAACATGAAATTCTACAATGTGTAGGCCTGCGCCACTGACAGACCGTTGAGATCCACCATCTCTCACCCTGAGAACAAACGCGCTGCATTAAGGAGTGGAGACAGTTGTCTGACTGATGAAGCCGTACACCATAGATTGCAGTATTCATTTCACACACTGAGGGAAAAGTGATGGCATTATTCCTCTTGACAGGAAATATGGTTGCAAAATTGAGTTTTTGACTGTGGCTACACGTTTCATAAAGGTTTGCTGAATTCTTGCCCAGTGCTTTGTGCCAAATAAACGCTTTGACTGATGCAGTGGCTGCCGCATATAGTCTCATTTTCCAAAAGAGTAGCCAACTTATGACAATGGGCAGTTTCATCATGAGATAAATTAACAATTGTAGCCTACATCTTAGCACATTTGTAGGCTACTTATTTGTACCGTTAAAACAACAGCTGTCTTGCATATTTATTTCTCAAATAAAGCCTTTTATCAATAGAATAAATGTTAATGATGATCTAATGCAGAAATGCTCTGATTAAATGCTCTAAAATGTTGTATTGTATTTATTTGTATATAAAGGAGTAGTAGGCTATACTGGAAAATACAATTGGAAATAAAGTGTCATGTTGAAGTCTTCAATATATAAAACATGAACAGGTGTTCTGACAATATGCTAGGATGTACACTATATTGCATGGTTTGAAGGGTATAGGATTAGGGTTTGAAGCTTTGTTAAGCCTTATATCCTATCACACCACACAATGCAGCACATTTAGACGAGATATTATTTTATGCGCTACTACAATTTTTCAACCCATTTCACACTATTACATCTGGCATCTTCTTTTGTATAAAAAAAGCATGCTACCTATGTTTTGGACAGGTCTGACTGAAAAAATGACTGTTTTAACTTTTAAGTAGCCGCACATTCAGAGCTGCAGCACAACGCGTCAGAACTCCGGCACACAAGTTTATAGCGTTCGTAATGGTGTCCTGTGCTGCCATCTAGCAGGGACAGAAGGGTAAACACTTCAACAGTTCAACAGTTTAATACTATCTTAATAGGGTTATCCCCTATACATTTATGTTTATTGTTATTCAATAGTTCAACCATTTTATATAGACTATTCATACATTTGAAAATTAGGCTACATAGATACCGGTATTGTATATTTCTTTGTTATTTTGAAGATTTTTATTTTTCAAGAATCCTAGTCCAAAGACAGTGCTCTGGTAGCTCTAAAAACTTTTTTATATTTTTTTATTTCAAAGGCAATTATCCTAAATGTTCATGTATAAAGATCCAATTTATGCTGTGAAACATTAATATCATATATGTGTAAAAATATTTAGTTCCTCTTATGTTGGCTTTACTGTTTTGTTAGATGTATTTTTTATCTAAATCAAATTATTTATTTGAATAATTTTTATTTTATTTTATTCAAATTATTTAGTAGTTTAATCTTATTTTTATTATTTATTTATTGTTTTACACACTTTTCTCTAAACTTTAAACTCTAAATTTACTCAAAAGGTTTGTGTTAGAGTTTTGAAAGAAAGCTTAAACCCAGACTGAAATGCATGTTTGAGCTGTTTTAACTGAAAGCAAATTACACTGATGGCATATCTTAAAATATGTGCCATTGCTTTGCCTTAAGATGCACACTAGTAATGTTTTTTTTCTAAGGCATGTTTTTAAAAGCTAAGGCCTAATCCTGGCTTAGGGAACCCGTTTGTAACTTTGATTTCAACAAAATACCTGTGAAACTTTCTGCATTTCATCATCATGCTTTTTTTGGTTTAATTAAAAAAAAAATCACCTTTCAAATACTTAATCTGGAACAATAAGGATGGTCTCTTCCTTTTTTCTTTTTTTTACTATTGGGGAATTTTTGGCAAAATATAATATTCCCACCATCAAGTGAATTTGCAACTGTGTTTGGCACCATAACATTTCTTCTGGAATATAGGCCTATTGTTTAAACAAAAAAATATTAGATTACCTCCCTCAAACAAAAAACAGCTCCCTTAACAAATAGGTTTCTCCTTTCATTGTAATAATTATAACAGATCAATAAGAGCCCTTCAAAAAAAACTGTTTCAGAACCATATTTAATTGCAATTTGGAGTGATGTTGACTGGGAACAAATCTGGTCTTTTGTCCAATTGCTATCAAATCACAAACAAGGTCAAAGAAGTATCTTTTGAACTCCTCCACAGATATGCTAAACTTTATTTAAGTTTTAAATTGAGACGAAAGCTGTAGCTTTTTGCAAGTAGGATGTTCTAGCAGGAGGGCATGTTTTGTAGTATTTAAAAAATAAGTGAAGCATTATACTGAGTAAATATTGCCCTTGAAAAACAAAATGTTTTTTTTTTACAAGCATGTGCACTCTTATAGGCCGAATATTGCACATACCTCCCCCTAGCAGTTGAACATTTGTATTGTAGCCTAATTGTATTGTTTGTTTTGATTTTTGATCAGTAAAAATTATTTATAAATTGTTAATAATTTTTATGAAGTAAAACATTTTAAAACATTTTTTTTGGGAAATGTATTATTTATTATTGTTTTTTAATGTAAGCCACTGGGCGGCGCTACCGCTTTCATCAGAGCGCTCGTTGCTACAGTTGACGTTCCACGAAGAAGCAAAAACGGATTTGTTCTCCCAGAATGCCTTTCACTTCCTCTTCCCTTCTGCGGCCCGAGAACGTAAGTGCCCATACGAATCCCACTGCAGCGATGTTCAAAATAATCCCTTTATATCAATGCCATCAAAGACTTTTGCGTTCAGATATCACAGCGACGTTTTTACTTATATTGTATTTAGCATTCTCAGAGAATATGACTTGTCGCCGAAGATAAAATCATATTATGTTGTGTTATGGGATAGATGATCGCCCGTGTTCTGCCATTTTCTAGTCTCGGACAGGGACTCTGTCTTTACATCAATGTAACTACATGTGCTTAAGAGCTTACGAATGGAAAATATGATTGGAGTGTAATATCATTAGATATTAATTAATTGTAGTCAGACAGCAATTTCTGTGTATGAATCGATGTATGTATCATGCGGTGGCCTTATTATTTCTAGTATCAGTGTGTTTTATTTTTTTGGACTGTCATTAACAGTTGCTTTTTTGTTTGTCGAGTTGGTATCTGGTTTCCGCCTGTTCTTCTTACTATATGGTGTGATTCGTTCTCTCCGTATAGATCTCTGAAAATGGTCCGCTACTCACTCGACCCAGAGAACCCGACTAAGTGTGAGTTGGTAGCTACTTTTTAGCCAAATGGCTGTGCAATATTGAACATGGGATTAATTGTGTGTGTATTCTACAGCATGCAAGTCGAGGGGCTCCAACCTTCGTGTTCACTTCAAGGTAAGACTTCATGTCACAAACAGAGTGATTCAAGACACTGACATTCATGATCTGTGTGGACCATCTTAAAGTACTGCTCACAGGTTGTATTGATAAATGCTACAGTGATCACCATATTCTTTAGTAACCTTAATAGGAGCATTTTCCCCATTCACTTCTCCATAGGAATGAGAATTTTTGCTTGTAACAACAAGATTAATCGCATTAATAACTTTGTATTGAAGTGTAAAGAATTTTTGAATTCCACTAAGTTTAAATAATTATGTGGGTACAAATGTTGGTTAATTGGCATTTATAAAAATGAAGTTCATTGCAAAATCAAAAGTTAATTAGAGGCAATGGCTGCATCTGAAATCGCATTTGGGTTATTTTGCCTACTTGTAGACTGCATCTGAAATCACATACTTCCCTACTATAAGGTGAAAAAAGTATGTCCAAATACATAGTAAGTTACTTCTAAAAAAAAATAAAAATAGGTAGAAAGTACCCGGGTGATATACTTTTGCCAAGATCCTGAAGTGTGCATATGATGGAGAGTTTATTATCCCATTAAGGCCATAGGAGAGGATTTATGAATGGCAGTGAAGTGACACAACTGACGCTGGTAGCTTGCATGATAATGACAGCATGGTGAATGTAGTATGCCCGGATTACATTCATACCGCACACAATCATACTATATAGAACATACTTTTTTAGTGGTGAAGTAATTACTTAATCAAAATAATACCTACTCAGGAGTATGTGATTTTGGACACAGCCTTACTCTTGAGTACTGTGAATTTGGATGTACTATTGTCACATGCTGTTTTTTGCCTACCATATAGGTGTGAAATATGCAATTTCAGATGCAGCCAGCCCTTGATATCTTTTGGTGTTCCTTTGTGATATCGGTGCAGTCTATTAATGCAAATGGCTACTTCATGATCATTAATGGTGTATTTCTTAATTTAAACAAAAGGTTAGAATGACCTATCATTAAATCTTGGCACTCGTACAAAAAATGAATGCAATTCTTACCTGTCAGTACTTTTCAGGCATGGAGTGCAACTGATTAGAATAGCAAATGCACTGTGGCTGCGATGATGACTACTTAGGACACCTTTTTATTAATCATGAAAAGAATCAAGTATATTCTGAGTAGCCACATTTGTAGTTTAAGTGCTGGTGGGCTGATTTACTTGAAGTGGACTTATTAATCAATGTCTTGCTGTTCCCCCCTCAGAACACCCGTGAGACCGCCCAGGCCATCAAAGGCATGCACATACGCAAGGCTAACAAGTACCTGAAGGATGTGATGGTGAAGCACCAGTGCGTTCCTTTCCGCCGTTACAATGGTGGTGTTGGCCGTTGTGCTCAGGTGAGGTTTTGTCCTTTCAAAACTATTCCATCCTTGTTGCAGTGATGACCATCTTAGGACACCTTTGGAGTTCACTATGAAAATTCAACTTATTCTGAGCAACATGTACAATAACGTTCAAAAGTTTGGGTTCTGTAAAAGTGTTTGAAAAGTCTTCTGCTTCAGGTTGCATTTATTTGATGCAGGTTGCATTTGTCAAATTGGTAATATTGTGAAATTACATCTTAAATAACTATTTCTATATATATAAACTTGTAATTTAAATCTGTGATGTCAAAGCTACATTTCCAGCATTAATCAGAAATCATGCTGATTTGATGCTCATACATTTAATGTTAAAAATGGTTGTGCTGCTAAATTTGTGGAAACAATGATTTATTTATTTTTCTTTAAATAGAAAGTTTTAAATGCTTTTCATAAATATATATATTTTTTATATATATTAAGTCTTTACTGTCACTTTTAGTATGGTCACTTTCACAAATATAATACATTCTTGCTGAATAAGTATTAATTTCTTTGAAAATCTTACTGACCCCAAACTTTAGAACAGTATTAGCTCAGTGTTTCAGTTTAAGATGACGTTTAAGCTTACAGGTGTTGTCGTTACTTTCCATTGTTTAGGCCAAGCAGCATAACTGGACTCAGGGACGTTGGCCCAAGAAAAGCGCAGAGTTCCTGCTCCACATGCTGAAGAATGCAGAAAGCAATGCTGAGCTCAAGGTAGGACCTTATGAACCAATACTCTAATACATTTTCAATTCAACTTAGAATTGGGCAGCATTGTGGCTTCAGTTTGACTAATTTGGCTTGCATGAATGCAGCTTTACCACTATTAGGGTGTTGGCTTTATTTCATCCCACATTGTGATCTTGTAGGGTTTGGATGTGGACTCTCTGGTGATTGAGCACATCCAGGTGAACAAGGCCCCAAAGATGCGTAGGCGTACTTACCGTGCCCATGGACGCATCAACCCCTACATGAGCTCCCCATGCCACATCGAAATGATCCTCACTGAGAAGGAACAGATCGTTCCCAAACCAGAGGAGGAGGTGTCTCAGAAGAAAAAGGTATGATTGTTAACGTTCTTCTGAAGTAAAGTAGTTCACTTGGCTGTAATGATGACCACTTAGGACACCTTTGGATTAATGATGAAAAGATGTACTTTTCTGAGCAGCCATTGTGCATTTAATGGAGTTGTGTGGAGTTCCTTGTTGTTGAATGCACATCAACTAATATTTGTTTTCTCTTTGCAGGTTTCTCAGAAGAAACTGAAGAAGCAGAAGCTTATGGCTCGGGAGTAAATGTAAATAAAGTCCAACGTTCGTACTACGCATTGACTCTGCTTATTTTCTTGTATATTCAGTTTTTTATTTTACTTTAAGGCATGATGCTCATGTCATTTTAAAAGGGGGGGGGGGGGGGGGGGGGGGAGATTGTCTAAGCAGTGTCAAACTGCTCAAATAGTCCACTAGTGCCAAACAGAAATATGTCTCTACTAAGCAAAACTTGGGTTATTTGACAGGCAGAACACTAGGATTTCCGACTATGGGCTTAATCAGAAGCCCAAAAATGTCAAAATAGTGGATCTATTTACTATTGTGTAATAAACAGTGCATTAAACAAAGACTTAATTCAATTTAAATCATTCTTCAGTGTGTATTGATTTGTGTACTTTTATCTTGTGAAGATCTTTGATCAAGATCTTTGAGTGTCCTTTGCCAAAAATATGTCTTGTGGTGATTGGCTTGGTTGTTGGTTAAGGAACAGAGTTTGATATGAAACCTTGATGGGGTTTAACTAGATAGTTAACATCCTTAAATGGTTAGATTTAATATTTTAGTTGTCAATCATTTAAATACTTGTCTAATCAGATGTTGACAAATTATGCACTCATCAAAATATGAAACCAGAATATGCATTTATGTAACGCAACTTATTGACAAAGTATTTATAGTTCGATTAAAATGAGTCTTGCCTCATTTATAAACCGTTTTGTGTTTTTGGCACGACCTCCGTGCACTACCAGAGGACATAACGCTAGGTTCAACATTAGAGGGCGCTGCAGCACCGCAAATCTTCCAGGCGAACAAAGGTGGCAAGAGATTTTCTCTTGAGAGACTCCGTTTAGGTTATGTAGTTCAATTCCTTGGTATTGAACTGCATTTTCTGGACTTAATTTTAAAACGTGAATTCCTCCTCTTGGGATTTTTGCTATTTGTGGGTTTATTATTAAAAAAATGCATAATTTAATAGAATTATGTATTCATATGCGTTAGTATATACATATTTGTAACTCCGTTTTATTTGTAACAGTAAATCTATGAATCTCATTTGTGTAGATATATTTTATGCAACATGCAAATATATGACAGGAATCATGAAGCAGGTAATTTTTAATGCAACAGCAGGGTTGCATTAGTTGCCACATCCCAGTATATGCTATTTCACTCTTTGACCACTAGATGCTGCAACACTTTGCAGTTTACATTAGGTTATAAACCTTAGATGGAGTAGGATAGCAGAGAAAAGGATACATCATCATGACACAAAAAATGTTTCTCTTTGGTTGTATTGCATAACTTAGGCTATTTAAATAATATTCTGTAACATTACAGCCTCTTTATCTTTAATGGACTTAGGCCTACTGATATTTTGTTAATTAGATTAATACAGCATGTGACTTTTATATATGCATAGAGATGTAGGCTACAGAACCTTTAAGACTGCAGCTGTGAGTTTCTAATATTTCACATGTATTCAGTTGGCGCTTAGTTTATTCAGATGAAACCAAATAATAGAGTAATATTTGCCAATAATTACAACTCCAATATCAATTTGAAAAAAAGAATAATAATATTGGCGGAAGGTTTTGATGAGAAGGTGGGAAATTCAGTAGTCTATAGCCTACCGGGTGGAGCTCAAAGTTATAGGCAAGGCAAGTTTATTTATATAGCACATTGATTTCATACACTATGGCAATTCAAAGTGATTTACACAAAGGAATGAAAATCATCACAAAATAAATGCAAGGAAAATTAAAACGGTTATAAAAGGGATTAAAATAGATAAATAATACAGTTATAAAATGAATTAAAAGAGTAAAAATATGATACTTGTCATCTGGCAAAACACCGGTGTATCTTAGTCAAATGATAGTGTTTATTCAAGCTTCATCCATCTGTGATTGTGCTGTGATTTATCGGAGTGTTTAAGCGCTGCATATCCACAGAGACGTTTAAGCTCATAAGATATCCCACTGCCTCACATGACCGGCACGCATGCAGATGTCCCTTTATTTAAGAAATAGATCTCAAATTGACTAAATTGATTTTGTCCCCTTTTTGTATTTAATAGTGGGTCGGATGGCAGCTCTTTTAATGTGCAAATGAGAACCAATGAGGACATACTCCTAAATTCAGTTCAGACAGAGGCACTCAGCTGACACGGAGCACGTCACTGACGGGCTCAGCCAATCACACCCCACCGAGCCCCTCTACTTTCCCAGGCACGCTCTCAAAGTTTTGACTTTTTGCAGCAAAAGACAGCAGGTTGATGAAAATGTTTTATTATCTTCCAGATCTTCATGTGAACTACCCAGAAAGACTCTCTTTTTATTTATAGATTTCAAAACACTCTATCTTTTAAAGGACGGCTCTCTGTTGTAGGCTATCATGCCATATTTGCAAGCTCTGAAAGAAGGGAATGGATTTTGCCAGAGGAGATGGGTTTGAAGCTTCAGTACATCTGACTGGGATTTTCTTTAGAGAAATAAATTTTTGTCTGAAGGCTTGAGATTGTGAGGTAGCCTATTTTGGTTTTTCTTTTCGGTAGGCTATTCTACGTTTGTGTTCACGTTTTTCTCCGGTCTCCACCGTCTTGCTTCTTGCGCAATATTTAGTTAAAGTTGTAGTTTCTTGGTTATGTTAGCGGTGGGGCAAATGGACGGGTCTCGCCAGAGCGCTTTCCTACTCAATACCCCACCTTTGGCTGCTTTACACAGTATGACCGAAATGAAGACACCCCTTTACCCAGCCTACCCGTTATCTTCCACTGGACCAGCATCCTCCACTTCACCGACAGCTACCTCACCGAATCCAGGTGGTATCCCCGTGTCGTCCCCGGGGATCAAAACATCCAGTGGACTTTCAGCTCTCGGATCACACCATCAGTGCGCGGTCGCCACCCCTCACGGAATAAACGACATCCTCAGTCGCCCGTCGATGGTCGCCGGAATGGCAGCGGCAGCGGCGGCATCTTCTCCCGCTGGGATCTTGTCCGGACTGCCCCGTTTCAGCAGCCTGAGTCCCCCGCCGCCTCCAGGGCTGTATTTCAGCCCCAGTGCCGTGGCGGTGGCTCGCTATCCGAAACCACTGACAGACCTGCCAGGCAGAACCCCGATATTCTGGCCTGGAGTCATGCAAAGCCCGCACTGGAGAGACGCCAGATTTGCATGTTCTCCACGTAAGTGCGCGATTCATTCGTGATAACTTTCTTGAAAGGCTGTTAGCGATTGATTTGGCTACTCATCCAAAATATTACTTCATAACAATAAGCACAGCTAATCATAATAGGGTGTAAAAAATAACAATAGCTGATTTTTATTTTTATTTTGCCCTCCTACAGATCAAAACTCAGTGCTCCTGGACAAAGATGGAAAAAGGAAACACACTCGACCAACGTTTTCCGGCCAGCAAATTTTTGCTCTGGAAAAAACATTCGAGCAAACGAAATATTTAGCTGGACCCGAGAGAGCGCGGTTGGCCTACTCTTTAGGAATGACAGAGAGCCAAGTCAAGGTAAGACAGTCCTAATAGTTTAGTTTAGCCTATATATGAGAGGGGAACACCTTGACTGACTTGATTATTCATTAATTCAATGTCTAGCTATTAAAAAAGAGAATTCAAGGTGGGATCGGCCTATTAAATGTGTTTATTCATACCTTCCTATATCTGTTAATTTATAACTTTTATACATAGGTCTACATCAATTTATTTCTCTAATGTAGGAATTTACATTTTAATGCAAAAAAAATATTTTCATAATATAGGCTAGCCTAGGCTATATTAAAGTTGTCTTAAAACAAATAATTTTGTATAAAATTGCAATGTGCACTACTGCAATTTTTTGTTGTTGCAATTATTGCAATAAAACAATTTAATTGAATAGGCCTACCTGAATGAATAATTTTATATCCGTTGATATAGGCTATTTGATTAAATATCTTAGCCTAGCCTATATTTTCCGATTGGAATATTCACTTGAAGTGAAATTAGGAGGTTAGGATACAGATATGCTATTTAAAGCTCTGTTCAAGTTATTTTTTTTAATGTAGCTATCAGCCTTTTCATGCAGGAAAAATCTGTTTAGTTTGACACTGAAAAATGTTTTTGGACGACATGCTATTATAATTCCCATTCGGTATGCTGATTTTTTGACGAAGATAGATAATAATTTCTGTGTGTATTAAAATTAGTTTTATCTCTTTTTTTTATTGTAAAGGTGTGGTTTCAAAACCGAAGAACAAAATGGAGAAAACGGCACGCGGCTGAAATGGCCACGGCTAAGAAAAAACAAGATTCAGAGACCGAAAGGCTGAAAGGGGCCTCGGAAAATGAAGACGACGACGACGACTACAACAAACCTTTAGACCCAAACTCGGACGATGAAAAAATAACGCAGTTACTGAAAAAACACAAACCAAACTCAGCTCTTATTATTCACACATCGGAAAACGAGAGCTCGTAAAGCGGAAGCGGGAGATGGGTTGTCAAATTCATCAAGAAGTGACAAAAATAATTCTGTAGGCTACTGTTTTTCACCAAGTTTGAGCTCTGGTTTAAGAGGAAGGATGCAAATCAGAGGAGTATGCACTATTGGTGGAGCTGAACGTGCATCAGTGTCTGCAATAGACACGTTTCAACTTAAAGACAACGGTACATTTTTGTAAATTAACAGCGTGAGTTGTATCGCATAGGAATTATATTACTGTGAATATTTATGTGTAAAATATTTTGAATAGTAAACATGGCAGAATTCGTTCACTTCGCCTCAGTTTAATTTTTGGTTTAGGCTTTGTGATTTGCATTTTCATATCATTAATTTGTATAGGTGCTCATCACCCTGAGTTATTTTATTTTTTTTGTCTATGGGTATAAGTTGCCTCTGCCCTTTGGTCCTTAAAAAATAATCAACCATGGAAATATAGAATACTTTTCAGAGTTTACCACTGATGGTTAAAGACATAAGCAACAGCCTCAATTGAGGCTCAGCCAAAAAAGGCCATAACAAGTGTAAATATAAACAAACACCTAACCATATATTTGTAATATA